CCTTGGTCCCCCACCGGCCCGTCGGCCGTCCCTAAAGCATTGTGGATGAGGTAAATTGCAGAATGTGCTTAAACAGGTAGGGTACAAGAATTGTCATAATGGTGCCCACAAATAGTCCAATTTCATACCTTGTAAGATGTAGAAATCGAACCCTTATACTGCGACTCCAGCTCAATTAAGACTACCTCACTTCTATCTTTTGCACCACTGAGCTACGCCCCGGAGGATAAAAAAAAAAAAATTATTGGTTACACGGAATGTGGAAGTTACCTATTTTGTGCTCTCAGGTTTGGGTGTACCAAAATTTATGTAACCGTGTCTACCACGTGGAGAAAGGTGATTGGTTGGAACAGGATTAGTGTTGTACTTTCTCATAGGTTTGTATGGATCGGACGGCTCTGATGTTACTCGAATGTCTTATATTCCGCACTTTTAAGTATTTATTCCCAGTTTAATTTAAGTCCTTTTGAAATTAAATTAATCTTTTCTTATTGAAAAATTTATTATTTCTAGTTTAACTTAGGGGAGTGTTTGATGGATATTATTGATGAAATAATATGTTTTAAATAGTGATTTTTGGTATTGACAAATCAAAAGTTTTGATTTTTGGTATTGACTAATCACCAGTCTTCTTGCAAAAGAGACATTTTATACTACTAGTCAGAGTTGAACGTGCATTGCATGTTATTTTGAAATAAGTGTTTTAAAAGTAATATTTAATATCAATTTGTTTGCAGGATTTGATGATTCTCAAACGAAGTAAAGAAAATAAAATTTAGGATAGAAATTTAAGAGAAGAAAATTGTACTCTCCAAACTTAATTTTTATTGTTCAATTTTTTTGTAATGATGTACCGCAAATAAACAACATTTTTATACTACATTTGGTACATAAGAATTGATTAATAATCCATGAATTTAAATAGCCGTTAAAATTCCTACATATACGAATAGAAATAAATTCATCTATAATTACTCTAAATTTATGTAGATCATAATTCATCGAGTCAAGATTCATTGAGTCTAGATTACTGTGAATTTTAATTAATTAAGAATTAATAACATGAAATTCATATATGACAATGATTTAATATATTATCGATTTTGTATTATTTATAGCATATTGAAAAATGAAGAGTGAGATATTATTGAAATAATTGAATTATAATAGAGTTTAAATCGTTCAAAAAATGATTCTCACTTGATGCGATATTTAATATATTATAGACTAATAATTTACAGATATGTGATGGTCTTGTGATCGGTTATTACATAGTTTAGGACAATTTTTGATCTAGACATGTATTGTCTCCAAGTGATTGGAGGATGATGTTGAGTATATGTCGAGGAAACTGGTTTTAGAAGGTTTTAAAAAGTTGGTTTTCATCAATTTTGACCAAATATTTAGGTGGGATCCATTAATCATCGGGAAAAAATCCGAGGTTGATCGCGTCCTCCAATGTGAGGAGATTATAGTAGTATATTCGGTTGTTCAAAACCAATTTTGAACTAGTAAGAAATTAAGGTAGTAAGGGAGCTCTTGTAAGAGACGCACTATTTGTATCAGGGGGGTATACAACCCCCCCTCACAATAGGGGGGGCCCACATTCCCCCTGACCGGCCCCCTCACAATAGGGGGATCCATTAATCATCGGGAAAAA